TAATTGAAAACCTCAACTTGATTGAATTAGATTAGTAGCGTCGAATCCGAGTGAAATGTTTAACCCTGCTCATAAGTAGAGCGTCAACGTATATGTGTGCACGGCTTTACGTAACTATGTCGTTAGCATGCACCGGGTTGCACGGTGAGCGCCCCTCCCAAAAAACAAAAACTTCCCCCTTATTATATCTGGCAAAGTCATCTTCAACCTTTTCCCACTTTAGAAAATTCTCATTCCATTTCTGTAGTCATGGCGTTTTCAAACATTTTAAGTGGACCGGTGCTGCACTGAATAGTGATGTTTTGGGTGGTTGAGTAATTTGATTAATTTTCTGGGTTTCTTTAAGTAAACCACTCATTGTATGGTAGAGCATAATTAGTTGAATATTGGATTCCTTAATCCATTGACGAATGTTTGTGTGTTGTTGCTGTCTTTATTGTTGAAAGCTTGAAAAGAATGCTCCAACAACCCCTCTTTATTAGCTTACCATATTTGAAGAATGAACCCAAATGTCTGCATTTTCTCAAGACTTTGAATGTGATGGAGCTTTTTTGAGAAGATGGAGAACTGGGTCCAAGTATAAACCTTCAGGTTAATGGGTAGTTTGGTTTTCTTCTGGAAGCTGTGGGTCCAAAACTTCGAAATATATGGTGTTTGCAAGAATAATGTGTGTTTTTGGTTACTTTTTGGAGGTGATTTAAAAGCTTCACGGTAGTTGGGTCCAAAGCTTTGAATTCTTATGTTGGTCCGACACTTTATCGGATATCAGCATGTTCATTTAAAAAAATGTTTTAGATTTCAAATAAATGTTTTTAACGTTGAGTAAAATAATCATTTTAATTTTTATATTTTTTTAAGTATTTTTACTTTTAAAATTTTAAATAAATAATTTTAGATTTGATGAAAATCGTTAATTGATTATCTGTTAACGTTTGTCGTTGATGTGGTTTATGTTATGTGTCTAAAGTAATTACATGAGCATATACACAAGTGATAATGTGATACGTGCTACATAACCATAAGTGGTAATGTAACATATATCATGACATTTCTTTATTAATCTAGGGTACTTACAAATGATAATATCTATTCTAGAAGCTCTTAACTATTTAACAAACAAACGTTCAAATACCCTATAGGCTCTGGTGCTCAAATCTGGAACTTCTAGGAATAATAATCATTTCTTTAACTACTAAGGTAGCTTGGTTTATACAACATACCACATTTCACAAGTAATGATGTGATACATGATACATACATACATACATACATACATACATACATATATATATATATGTGTGTGTGTGTGTGTGTGTGTGTGTGATATTGTGACATGTATCACGTCGTCACTTTGAAAGTAATAATTTAACATATTAACGATAAGTGCTTTTCACCTAGCAAATAATATTTTGTCTCAAAATGAAATGTTGAGACTAAAGTATTTCAAAAAGATCAAAGTAATTATTTTATCAAAATATTAGTGGTGATATTTGATATTATACTGAGATTATAAATCATATTCATGTCAGAATGTGTGGCATAAATGTAGGAACATAGAGAAGTTGCTTGATGAAGTCGTAATACCATTTCCTGATGAATCTTATTAGGCAAGAAGGGCATTGCGAGCGCTAAAAGGATTAGTTAGGCTTCAGGCACTGGTTAGAGGTCATATAGAGAGGAAGAGAACTGCAGAATGGCTAAGAAGGATGCAAGCACTATTCCGAGCACAAGCACGAGCTAGAGCCGAACGGATCCGAATTGCCGAATCTTCACAGTCGGGCTCCAAATCTTCTCACTTCCTTCGTCCGGTAAGTCAAAATTGTTTCTTCTCTCGACGATGTGGTTTTCTCATGCTTCTAATGAGGGAATCTTTACACACGTGTTTCATGGTTTAGGGCTCCTTTACTTTAGAAAATTTTCAAAGGTGTGTGATTCATGAATGTGCATTGAAAAACATGTTACGGATCTTCTTTTTCTTTGAAATGTTCGTGTCTGACACGCGAACTTCCTAGTTTTCTTGTTTATTAGCTTAATATTAGCTTCCCTCAAGTCTATTTTGTATACAGGGTCCACTGGCCCTAGAAAAATCTGAACATGCTAGCCGATCAAAGAGTCAAAATTATGAACAACAATCAATGCTGAAGGTATGCTGTTGGCCTCTGTTTGAACATCAAAAAAAGGAAATTTATAGTACCATTTTGGCATTGATGTATACTCTTAATGATTTCAGCGAAATGGGTTGAAGTCGAGTGGAAGGACTCTTGATAATCACAACAAGATATACCTCAGATGGAACCGGTCAGATCTTCGAATCGATGAACATATATGGGACCAAGGCAAAAACCTGTTTCACTCCTCACATCTTGCTTTGCATTCTGATCTATGCAACAGTTGTAGTTTCACCGACTCTCGAGACACACACCAAACACATCCAAGCCCATCATCCGGTGAAGTTCAGTCTCTAAGAATTCCATCGAAGTTCGAGGAATTGTGTTTCCGCAACGCCGATAATAGCCCGCGATTCTATTCGGCATCACCGCAAGGGGGTAAGAGAAGTCCATTCACTTCAAGAAGCTATCAGAGTGGTTACTCAGACCACCCAAATTACATGGCTTACGCCGAGTGTTCAAAGGCTAAGGTTAGGTCTCAAAGTGCGCCAAAACAAAGGCCTCATTATGAAAGATCTAACTCCACAAATAGGTATTCCATTCATGATTTCGTGGAGCCGAAATCAGATGCACAAAGATCTGCTTTGCTCTAGCAGAGCTTACCCTGGGTCAGGTCGGTTAGCCAGGCTAGGAATGCCCTTTGGACATGACATAGCTACAAAGGCACCAATGTCCCAAGTATTTTGGCGGCCTTTTGCTTTACGAAATGTTTAGTTCTGCATACTTGAAAGTTTATGGATGAGAAATCTGACTAGCTTCTGTATATGACTCTGCATAACCCCATTTAGGGACATATAATTTTATATTAAGAGATGAATTATAAAATTCTATCATATGACGAATTTATAAAATTTTAAGATGACGAAAATAAATTTTAAATCGAAAATATAAAAAAATAAATAAATAAAATTGAAGGATGATAACCTTCGGTCGCTCTCCCTCTATCTATCCATGACCCATTGTTGTTTATTGTTTTGAACAAAGCACTTACTAACAACTCGTGACAATTCTTTCAAAAAGGCTATCAAAAGCCTTTTTGTAAATCAATTTTCAAAGCGGATCCAGCAGAGAGTATCATCCACAATGTGTCTTCCTTGGGTAAAAAGCTATCCTCGGAGGGAAGCACCCAACACAATAGATGTGGCATTGAAAGAAGATAAAAGATTCGGACTGGGGGAAGAAGAGCTTCATTGCAGCAACAAAATCATCTCATCACCAATGATAAATTCAATACTATCCAGTTCAATTGTCCTTAGCATGGTTTTCAGAACCGGACCGGTTAGCGAACCGGTCATGCTACCGGTTCACTGGTTCAACCGGTCGAACCGGTCCGATCGGTCGAAAGAACTGGACGACGTCATAATTATTTAAAAAATTAAATAAAAATACCAAAAATATTTAATAAAAAATAATTTTTTATATCAAAAGTCATATTCAAAGCAAGTCATAACATATATAAGTTAAAAACCATCAAATTAAGTGAAACAAAATGATTCAAATTAACTACAACATAATATTTAAGGTAAAACATATTAAATAATAAATATAATTATATAACTATAATTAAAAAATAAATTTGGGGTTAAAAAAATCATAACAAAATAATATTGTTTGGTTTAATTTTTTTTTAAAACAATCTCACATGGCTAAGAAACATAGAAAAGCATCCCAAAAGTCTAAAGAGTAAAAATATAAGAACAAAACAATCTCACATTGCTAAGAAACATAGAAGCGCATCACAACTAACTTCTATAAATAATAGAGGTAATTTGGCATTCAAAATCATGGAGCCTTTTGGTGAGAATTGAGTGAACTATTCTTTCACTTCAATCAAGCTCGAATTTTAGACTTCAATCGAGCTTCTAATTTTTTTTTGAGTTCAAGCCTTTTTGAGTTCAAATTTCAATATTATATTTCGAGTTTAAGTTGAACTTGATAATTTTTAACTTGTGAGTTTGAGTTGAGTTGAGCTTACTTTTAAAGTTTTCAAGTTCGAGTAGAGCTCAGCAATACTCGAGTTCGACTTGACTCGTTTAACAAACGACATTGTTTGGTTTAATTTTTTTTTAAAAAAAAAAACAAAAATCCCGGTTTTTCTCGATTTTCAGCCGGTCCGGTTCGAATGGTTCAGAAGTTCTAGCCGGTTTACTAATAACGGTTCAACCGATTTAGATTAAACCGGACTAAGTAACAATTCCCGGTTGAACCGATCGGTCCGATTTTCAAAACAGAGGTCCTTAGTGGTCCCTATATCTCCTTGGCATTGACCTATACGTGTTAAAAATAACATTTAATCACATCATCGACCTTATTATACAACATCGTTACATGCATGTGGATAGCACACCTATCGTTAATTATCATTGGATAATTGCCCCTTATAAAAATAATATAACTTATATGGATCGAAAAATACTTTAATTACTTATTTTTTTCATTAAGCATTTTTTACAAAAGCACCAAAACCTAGACTAGCCGCCCATCTTTAAACAAATAGAACCTGTGGAAAAACTACCCAAAATCCAACCTAATGTTAATAAAGACTTGTGAAGTCTTTATATACACTATTGTTCAAATTAACGTTTCGGTCTTAAATGGCCAAACCGAGAACTTGACTTTCACTTCATCCAGTTCCTTCGTTTTCGTTCTCAGAAAATGGTTCTGGAGTCAACCCGATTTGATAGTCGGTGTTCTCTTCCGTGTACTAGACCCGGATCCAAACCCGAAGAATCCCACGTTGCAGAACGCCACCGCCACGTTCCGGGTTCCGATCACGTGATTCCTCGAAAAACGCTCCCGTTGGGACCGCGCTCCTTTCACCCATTGATATGCAAAGTATAAACGACAGATCTTTGAATTATTTCCCGAGCTCCAGCAACGTGGAATCCTGATCATCCGTCTTCCCATCCAACGGTTCTACTTTGACCACAGAACCAGGCTCAACATCTAGCTGCTGTACTTGATTATGGTCAAGCTCCTCATCCTCACCCTCTCGTCTCATTCGCTTCACCCCAATGGAAACTCCGAACAACTTCGGCGTCACATCCTCCCCCGCCTCCTCTTGTTCCCCATCCTCCATCTCCATCGCCGCCTTCGAACCACCATCCTCCGTCGCTCCTGCCGGATCCCCTGCCAGCAAAAGATCCAACGCCTTCCCTTCCCCCACGCTCTGGTGATACTCCGCCTGACCCGAAGCATAGTTCGTCACCAAAGTGAAGATACTGTTACACAATCCCTTCAACCGAGTCAGCTCCTGGTTCAGCCGCATGTTTTCTTTCCTAAGCCTGTCGTTCTCCTCTAAAAGCTCCGGCGTCGTTGTGCAACTCGTGCTCCGCTGTAGAACGGTGGAGACTGGAGGCGTGCTCGACGAAAAAACCTGCTCCTCCCCCGAATTAGACGGTGATGCTGATACTTTAGTACAAGGAACCGCAGCAACGGTCACTATCCCGGAAGCAGCAGCAACGGTAGCAGTTATTTTCCGGCGCTGTATGTCTCGAAGAAGCCCTTTATCGCCTCTTCGAAAACAATCGTTAGCGAACTCCCATCGATCCGACACTACCTTCCTGAAACCCTAAAATAACAAGAAAAATATAGTAAATTCATTATACATAAAAAAGAAAAAAGAAAAAGAACTTGATTAAGCTGATTACTATTAGCCTTAACACTTACATATGTGTTTAGTTGGCGGACGAAGCTAGAGAAGTTATTATGTTTGAAGTATTTAGGGAGCAAATCACAAGCGAACTCAGCAGGGCGCCAAACGATGAAACTCGACCCGTCTTCATTCCATGAAATCAACTCATCAATGGAAGGATCATCAACGAGTTGATAGGTTTTGGTAAGGAACGGAGTAGGTAAAGATCGTTGAGACTCGGTAGCAGTACCGGCAACGGTAGGGGAATCGCCGGGTTGGTCGGCCGGTAATGGTGCCATGTGGCTCGGTTTTAAGATCCGAACCCTAGAAAACAGTATTTCTCCGGCTATAGAGATTCCTTCGGCGTGCCTTAAACTCAAATTAGACTAAATGAATACAAAAATACCCCCAAAAAAAACAATGGCGCCGTTTGGTATCCGAGAAAGTGCGAGAAAAAGAAATAAATACTAGCTTCGATGTTTCTAGCTAAAAATATCTAGCCGAGCATAACTTATTTCAGTTTCATAAAAACATTAACACAATTTCCAGATACCATGAACAGTTTCTTGACCATGTAATAATTATAAACAAACATTTTAGCATCGATTCGTTTCTTAAATCATAAAGCATACAATAAAAATCAAAGTCTTCAAATCTAACTGAAAATAATTAATAAGACATTATAGGAGTATTGAAAGCTAATTATTCTTACCTGAAAGGAAGCGAGAATTTTCAAAGCAACCAAACAAGTAAGAAACGTTGCTCATTCGACCAGACAACGTTGAATCGAAAGATTCCAACGCCGTGAGCGTAGTAGAAGACGGCGCGTCGACTGCCAGGTATCGGCGGTTATGTTTTGTGGTTAGTTCAAGAAGGTTCACGGTGGAGTAAATGATAAGGGAGAATGCAGAGAAACTAAAAGAAATAGTGGGTTCGAGATGGGAAGGGAAATAAAAAGATTTGGGCCATTTTTCATATATATATCACCGTACATCATTTTTTTACTATCAGACATCATTCAGATTATATTTTTTGATCTAATATTTTTTTGTAGTAAGACGCGCCAATTACAGTACGTTTTACGTTGATTTAGCGTCATGTGAGGTAAGATGCGCCCTCTGAAGCGCCCATTAGGCTGACGTGGATTACACCAGACTAAAGCATGGCCCCTAGGGCGCGCCTTACACCATATAGGGATATAGCACGGGATAGGGACCGCGTCTTACCTTTAATTCTAACACAATTATGTAAGACGTAGTGCAGGTACTGCGCCTTAACTTTAACTGTGATACAATTATGTAAGGCGTTGTGCAGGTACCGTGTCTTGTATAATTACTATAACTTTTATCGGCTATAAATACCCCTCTTCCCCGTAAACTAGCTCACACCTTCCTCTCCCACATATTTCTCTCAATGAGTAAATAATTTCGGCAATCATCTCATATTTAATTCAGAAGTTTTTTCGATTTTTCGTTATAAGGTAATTTTGTTATAACTTTTTTTTATTATACTTATTATTTATTATGATTATTTGAAAAAGTATTATACTAATTGTTTTCAATTAATTTCCTTGTTTGTAAAATTAGAAAGCGTGAGTATAAGTCGAAATATTTTTTCGGTGTAAATAATAATATAAAATTATATTATTTAAATTATTTACGTTTATGTGTAAAAATTTTATTGTGTTATATTTTCGTTCATATATTATTTATTTAATTAGGTTTGTTTCAGTTGTTTTTTTGCAAATATAATATTGTCGCACTTTTAAACTGTAAGAATTGCGCGAGTTTCAACTATTGTTTATTATGATGGAGAAATTTGAGAAGATGAAACCGACGTTGTTTTCGTATCAAACGAGCGTATTAAAATTTCATTCAAGAGAAACATAACTTTTGAGGAGCTGATAACGAAGATTTTGAGGAAAATTCATGTTGGAAGTTGTATAATAATGTCGTCGTTGCAGTACAGATTTCCAACATCATTTTTGTCATTAATTTATACAGCGTTCAAACTATCGAACAATGATGATGTTGAAATGATGGTTGATTCTCAAAGTAACTATTCAGACGACGATATTGAGATGTATGCAAAGTTTGTTCAAGTGCGTGCTAGTCGAGCTCAGTCATTAAGCTCCCACTATGGGCTGGCTGAACAAGTTGATCAAGTTGACAGCCGACTACAGTAATGTGTAATGATTTTATTGTCATAATGGGAATTCTACAGCATGGTGCCATCACATCAACTTCAATGAGAAGACATTCATCAGCAACTCCTTACGATATGTAACAAGGTGGGTTCACGAACAATCCATATGGAAACATCGCGTCCAGTTCAAGGGGAAGGCATTCATCTGCAAATTTCTTTGACCTTAATACGGAGATGCCATCGACGCAACAATCTATGCAGTTTCCATTTGACACGATGGCTTCAAGCTCTAGGGGGAGGCATTCGACTGCGAGCTTTTTCGATTTCAATGTCGATATGCCTTCTAGTTCACGGGGAAGGCATGCAAGTAGCATGTTCTTCGACCTAAATATGGAGAGCATGGATGAATCATCATCTCCACCAGAAGAACCGCTTCGTGCAGATGGTGCTGAGACTTGACTATTCATTCACCCATAATCACCGCAATTCAACTCTGATGATGATGATGATGTAGATGAAGTTCCCTCAAATGTGACACAAATTGACCCTCCACCACATATGTATGAAACTGATTATGGTGCAATGTACGAGTCAAAATTTGCGGATATGTCTCATCTCGGTGACTATGGATATTACTCATCAATAAATAATAGTGAGTTATTTTTAAGCATGGAGTTTTCAAGCAAAGAAGAAGCAATGATGGCTATAAAAATTACAATATCCGTAATTTTGTTAAATCCAGAGTCGACCGCTCTATGATAGAATATGTATGTTATTGTGCCTAACGCGAAAACGGATGCAATTGGATGGTTCGTGTATCGAAGAGGAATAGGAAAAACAATAGATGGAAACTGCAATATACAACAGTCCTCACACATGTTGTGCTGGATGGGTCAACCAAGATCACCTCAACTTGGACTCTGAAGTGATATGCCAAACCATCATGCCCATGGTAAAAGCAAGCTCTCATATAGTTGTTGTTGTGTTGATTTCAGCTATACAATCGCAGTATGGGTACACTGTATCCTATAAAAAAAGCTTGATTGGCAAAACAAAATGACATTGTCAAACTTCATGGCGAATGGGATGCATCTTACAACGAACTTCCAGGTTGGTCTCTGTGCTGCGGCCATGAGTGATGAGGCTGCACCCGCAAAATAACTAGCATATGAACCCCAAGTCAGATATGCAAACATAGACCCATAATATCCTCCAGGAGGGGTCATATAACTCAGTGACAGAGGCGACGACGGGGTCATAAAACCAGGTGAAGGAGGCGGCGGCGACATCTGGTAAGGGAAAAACGGTGGCGACATAGGATATGGTTGCGGTATGCAAGTCGCTGGAGACGGTGGTTGCTGTGAAGGTCATGTTGGTACAGTTGAGGACGAACCGTAAGCACATGCTCTCCGTCTACGAGTCGGAGGACAATGGTGTTGTGTCGGTGAATTTCTCTGTCGACGTCGCTGAAAGGTCTGTCCTCGTGCATCCTCGAAAAGCAGAAACGATTTCCCGTTACTGTTGAACCACTCATAATAATCATCACCAATCGTCAATAGGTTATCATAAATGGGATCTCTATAGGGAAGGCGCCAATGTCGATCCTCCCACAACACGATCCACTCACGATGCCTCATCAGCCAATCTGTATCCGACTTGCTGCTTCGATCTGTGCTATGCAACTCGTCCATATTACGAAGTGCTTCCGGAATTGGTTGAAAACAACCAAATTGCCGGAGCACGCGATCAGTGGAGTGCCACTCGACGATCGCATAACATATCAAATGGACCATCGCCATCCAAACATCTGATGGGCCCTTAAACTTAGGTGGGATCGTCATCCTCACATCATCATTAGAATGTGATACCCATTCAAACTAAAATAAATATATATAATTTTTATCAAAATAATAATGTAATTATATAACTATAATCTAAAATCGATTTATAAAAATTAAAATGCATACATGTGTGCCAGCCTTCTGATCGATTAGCACCCTAATTTTTTCTTAATCATCAGGTAGCTCCTGGTGATTTTTCTTGTCAGTAGATCACCTATTCAAGGAAAAAAATTATTATACACTGTATAATAATTATTAATATAGAAAATCAGTTTTATAATTACCTCAATAGTAGTGGAAATACGAATATGTTCTTCACAACGGGACATAAAAAGGGCAATCGATATCATGCCCATGACTGTAGCAGAAGGAGACATCCGTCGATAGCATTTTTCCTGTAGTCAGTCGCTCGACACATCTCCCTATACAGGAAAACCAAAACTGTCGAGCCCCAACTGAGTGATCCGGCCAGATGAAAGTCGCCAAGATGTTACAACCACATATAGTGAACTTGGTTGCGCGATTTGTCTGACATCAGCAACCCTCCTATCAGCTGCAGTATGTATGCTCGTGCATATATTTTAACTTCATCTTCAGAGGCGTATGCGCTCAACTCTCGAAAATTGGCATCTAACCAATTTAACGGTATCCGACCACCGTTAAAATTTTTTGGGACACGTCTTAGATTATTCCGGCACAAAGTAGTCCATGAACCATGTGTTATCCCTGATATCACTCATCCATCCACCGGAAGCCCCAGGTGCATAGAAACATCCTTAAGTGTAATCGTGCACTCTCCGCACGGAAGATGGAATGTGTGGGTCTCCGGCCTCCACCGCTCCACTAAGGCAGAAATAAGGTCTGGTTCTATCTTACAGTGACCTTTATATCTACCTATGTGACCGAATCCAGCCTCTGCTAAATACAACCAGACATGAGTTGGTATCGCTAACTTAAGGTTCCTAATAAAAGGATCTAATATACTGTCTCTCTTCTAAATTATAAATAATTACAAAAATTAATTCTTAAACTAATAATCGTGCATTAAATAAATCAATAAATTATTATTAATAATTAAATTAAATTAAAACGTTAAAATGTTATTGTATCAGCAAAATGTCGAGATATATGATTTCCATCCAAGCGAAGTAGACCGCCTTCCATTTTATATCTGTAAAAAAATTAATTAAATAAAATATTAAAAAATTTAAATTTAAATAAATTACTAACAAAATATTAAATATAATAAAATATACCTTAAACAGTTATAAGAGAATATAAGAGTATTTGAGAGAAGTTGAGAGGATTTGGTGTGATGAAAGTGATTGAGAATGAGGTATTTATAGGGAGGGATGGGGTGTGAACGGCAGGGTAATTAAAGCTAAGGCGCGCCGCAGGAAGTGCACCTTTCTAACTCGTGTCACAATTAAAGGTAAGACGCGACCACTACCCCGCGCTATATCCCTACGTGGCGTAAGGATATAATTAGAATTGTGTAGCAAAAGTAGTCTGTCAAATTGTTTGGTTTGCTCACAATTCCTTTATAACATCATAAAACGTCTTGTTCGATAGAGACAATGAATTTTACGAAGGTTACTGGATTGTTTTGATGTTTGGAAGGTTTCAATCTCTTCGTATATTTGTGTTTAATTATTTTATTTTATGTATGTGTTTTTTGTGACTATTGTCTCTAATTTTCTCTTTGAATGTGTTGTAATTTTGATTCTTTCATTTTTATTAATGAAATTCACTTACGATTGTTAAAAAAATTATAGAAAATACGGTGAATAAGACATTGCAACTATAAAATTGTGTGAAATT